CCTCCCAAGTAGCTGGGACCACAGGCGCCCGCCACAACGCCCGGCTATTTTTTTGGTTGCAGCCATCATTGTTGTTTGGCAGGCCCTGGCTGGATTCGAACCCGCCACCTTAGGTGTATGTGGCTGGCGCCTTAGCCACCTAAGCCACAGGCGCCGCCGAGCCGAAATAATTGTTCTAACAAAATGTTGTCACTATTATCTCCCATGTGTAGCTTCCACCTAGAGAGAAAAAAAAAGCAAATTTCTAGAAAAGGCCAGATAGAGGCCAAGTGCCGTGGCTCGCACCTATAATTCTATCACTTGGGAGGCTGAGGCGGTTGGACTGCTTGAGCTCAAGAGTTCAAGACCAGCCTGAACAAGAGCAAGATCCCATCTCTACTAAACATAGAAAAATTCAGTCTTCCTTCCTAGCCATGGAAGAGCATATTCTTGTTTATTGGCAAAGCTGTCACCATTTAATGGGTATCAGATTCTGACTTGCACAAGTCACATTCCTTGCTGCTGTTAAAAATCCGAAGAGTGCCGGTTATTGGGCAAATTTTTTAAAGCTGTTGTTTAAAAAAAAAAATAGAAAAATTATCTGAGCCTTGTGCTGGCTGCCTCTAGTCCCAACTACGTGGGAGGCCGAGGTAAGAGGATTGCTTCATCCCAGGAGTTTGAGGTTGCTGTGAGCTATGATGACACTATGGCACTCAATCCAGGGTGATAGTGAAATTCTGTCTCAAAAAAAAAAAGGGAGGGTGGCCAGAGGGTAAATATTTTCAGTTTTGCCAGCTATGTGGTTTCTTGGACAACGACTAGGCTCTGATGTAGTGTGAAGCACCATAAACACTATGTATAATGAGTGGGAGTGTGTGCTAATAAATCTTTATTTATAAAACAGGCAGGATAGCCAGATTTCTCCTGGAAGTTATAATTTACAAGCCCCTGACCAAGAGTATCAGTGTGCCATTTTAAAGACATTGCCTTCTGAATATTTAAGCAATTTTATTATGAATCATACAAGAATCTTGGGTTTAGACCCAAGAATTTCACATCACAGAATCTAGTCCTAAGAATGTCTTTGGATTTACACATACAATTTTTGTAAAAGTTATTCACTATGGTAATACTTACAATAATGAAAGCATAGAAGCTATTTTATTGGCCAAAAAAAAGGGCATCAGGAAAATCAGAGTGATGACTATGTCATAGACAGTCTTTAATAGTGATGGTTCTATAGACCTTTTGTGATGTTAAGTCAAGAAAAAGTGAAATAGAAATTGTGCAAACAGCTTGATCTCAATTAGGTTTAAATGTACCTATGCAGCCTGGCACGGTGGCTCACGCCTGTAATCTCAGCATTTTGGAAGGCCGAGGCAGGTGGATTGCTTGAGCTCAGGAATTCAAGACCAGCCTAAGCAAGAGCAAGACCCCATCTCTAAAAATAGCTGGGACGTTGTGGTAGGGTCCTGTACTCCCAGCTATTTGGGAGGCTGAGGCAAGAGGATCACTTGAATCCAAGAGTTTGAGGTTACTGTAAGCTATGGTTACTGTGGCATTCTCCTAAGGGTGACAAAACAAGACTGTCTCAAAAAAAAAAAAAATCTACATATGCATACCAAGTTTTTAAGTATGATTGTCTATGAATTGTGAGATTATGGGGTGGTTTTTCTTATAAAAGGAGGATTAGAGAGCGTAAGCAACCTTTCAATGGCCACCTGCCCAGCCAGTTAATATCAAAGCTAAATCTGTCAGATGCCAATTCTTGCCTTCTTTCAGTAATTCGTGATGATTAAATAACCTATATTCCTATTTTGTGATGTTAAGTCAAGAAAAAGTGAAATAGAAATTGTGTAAACAAAATTCCTGAGTGAATGGGAATGTTTCCTTGGATGGGAAATTTAAAAAAGAAAAAAAAAATCAGCATTATTAGCTCAAGAAACCAATCAGGAACAAGGCGTCATGGGTAACACAGATAAAAGTGAGACCCAAACCCTGCCTGCAGGGGGCTTATGGTCTACAATGCGTCTGCACTAAGGGTATGAGAACACACACAGAGATTCTGATACAAATATCAGCTCCTCAAAGCAGGGTCAGTTTTAACATGGGGGTTATGCCCAGGAGAAATGCCCATCCAACATCTAAAGGTCTTTGCAAAACATCAGACATCTTTATCATGGTCTTTCCCAAAATGCCAACGGGACAGGGGCATCTATTCATTCAAAATCACCCTTCAGTCTGCTTTGCCCATCGTTTCCCTCCAGGCTTTATTCCACATGAAAGCCCAGCTGTCCTGGCTTGGCACCTGTGGCTCAGGTGGCTAAGGCGCCAGCCACATACACCTAAGGTGGCGGGTTCGAATCCAGCCCGGGCCCACCAAAACAACAATGACGGTTGCAACCAAAAAATAGCTGGGCATTGTAGCGGGCGCCTGTGGTCAGAGCTACTTGGGAAGCTGAGGCAAGAGAGTCACTTGAGCCCAGGAGTTGGAGGTTGCTGTGAGCTATGATGCCACAGCACTCTACCCAGGGGGATAGCTTGAGGCTCTGTCTCAAAAAAAAAAAGAAAGCCCAGCTGTCCCTGGCAACTCACTCAAAGAGTGATCCAAAGTCCCAGCCCCATGGGCTCTGTTCCCCTTTGACACACACCACTCACCACCCCTGGCCTTCCCAGCTCTCTATTCTTTCACTGTAAATGGATCAAGACCCCTCTGAATGCTGTTCTCCCCCATTTTCCTGATTTAAACACCAAGGCCAGGTGCTGTGCTGGTGAAGCAAAGTCCACTTCCGTATGTGGGAAGGTAGAGAAGATTTAAATTGGAGGGCAGGGTAGTCCAGTCGTAAGATATGGAAGGAGAAATGACAGAAAGGGTAAGGGCAGGCCACCTTCCCACCAGGCCAAGGAAATGACAGCTGAGAACACAGCCCAACAGTATACAGAATAATGAACAGATCGTGATGGAGAAGTCGTTTCTCAAGTGAGAGAAATATGACTTTTAGATGGATCTGGAAGAACAGACAGAATCTGGACTTTGGAACTGGAGGTGGTAAGAGAGCAAAGGAGCAGGAAGCCCAGGTGGCCAGAACGAGGGTTCCGGGCAGGAAAGGGCTGGGTGTGTCTAAGGAGCCTGCCTCGGTCTCTCCGTGAGGTTCCTTCAGGCCATTCTCTGTCTGGGGCGCTCTGTGACACTCTTCCAAATGGAAAAGTCATTCCCTGTGGAGTTAGCCAAATATCTTGAATAAATGATGCAGGAATTATGAAGACATTTTCCAGAGGACGCCAGCATTTCCTGTCTCGACAATAGAGCTGGATTTGACATCTGCTAATTCAAGAGGTTAAAAATAAAAGCTGTGGCCAACTCAAACTTCCCCTCCAAATGTTTTCCAATAACGTGAGATTGGGTTGATTGACAATGCTTGTGATCAATTTTTTTCCACACCATCTTAACATGTTAAGTCAGGAATGCGGCCGTGTGGATGCACCGTTGGCTAATTGCTACCCTGGGTTATGGAATAGGAAGAGGTGTTGAAATCAATTATGACTTCAATGCTCAAAAGCGGGGAGGGGCTAAAAGAACAATGTCCGAAGAACATGTAAGATGACTTTGTGCTAAGAATAGAGACTCACATTTGAAGGTTTGAAGGTTTCTAAAAGGAATAATACAAAAATATCAGCTTATGTGTACATAGTGGTTCTCATGGACCTGCTAATATTCTTTTTTTGAGACAGAGCCTCAAGCTGTCCCCCTGGGTAGAGTGCTGTGGCCTCACAGCTCACAGCAACCTCCAACTCCTGGGCTCAAGTGAGTCTCCTGCCTCAGCCTCCCAAGTAGCTGGGACCACAGGCGCCCACTTCAACGCCTGGCTATTTTTTGGTTGTAGCCGTCATTGTAGTTTTGGTGGCCCAGGCTGGATTCAAACCTGCCACATTAGGTACATGTGGCTGGCGCCTTAGACACTTGAGCCACAGGCGCCAAGCCAACCTGCTGATATTCTAAGCTCTAAGCTCTAGTCTATTCCCGACAATGACCCTGAAAGAAGCAGGCACTTATTACGTTTATACAGATGATGTAGCTGAAATCGAAGACGTAACGTAACTTTGCCAGAATCACACAATTGATACATGAGTCAGCACAGGTACACCATCTCTAACAGCCTCCAGAGACCATGACCAAGAGAAAATGCAGATTCTCCCTGCAATCCTATCAGTAAAATGAGGAAGAAAGAGCCCAGAGGGTGCTGAGACAATCCTGCCCAATTCTCTAACACCGCCTAAGTTATACTGCAACTGCCTCATCATTTAGTAGCCAGGAAGATGGTCTGGCTTACCCAAGATTAAGCGTCAGCAAAGCCAGAGCTTGAAGGAGGTTCTTCTTCCTCCCAGGAATCAATCAGCCTCCTGAGAATCAGTTTTCTCATCTGTACAATAGACCTCCAAATATCTACTTACCAAATGATACATTATCTATGCAAGGTCTTCAGAAAGGAACAACACTGTAAAAAAAAAATCTTATCATTCCGAGTACCTGAAGGTAGACAAACTGATTTGAATGAACACTACTAATCATTGTAAGTTGCATCCAGTTTAGATCCCGCCCTGATTCTCAGGTTTTCCACCCAGCCTATCTCTCCTCTCTAGAGTGTGGGCTCCCTGAGAGCAGTCCCCTGGACTGTCTTGTTCTCTGCCGAGTCCCCCCCTAAAGAGAAGAGCATCAGACAAGGGGGTCAGCGTGCACATTTGCATGAGTGACATTGGACTGCGTCCTGGGACTCCAGTCTCCCACTGTGTGTTCTTGGCCTGGTTACTTCACTTGTGGGGTCTCTCCTGGGGTCCTGGTGAATATTCAATAGTAATAATATGATGTCAGCGAGGTATGCACGGACCCCCATCCCTCACTCATAGTAAATGCTCAATAAATATTAGATAACAATAATAAAGAAATCATAGCTACAGCATGTGTTACACTGTGTTAATTACAAGATTGCAGTCACTGTTTGGAGGAACCAGAGCATTGCGGCTTGAGTGGGAAATAAAATAAATATGCAAACGACAGAACTTTAACCTAATAACGTGACCATTCCCAAAGTTTAGCATATTACTGGAAATCGCTAATGGAGCACTGCCCATTATTCATGTTAGGAGCAGTGAGGAATCATGCATAATGGAACAGAGTCCCTGCTAACAGCAGATTCACGCACGATAATTTAAACTTGTTTGTATGGAAATAAAGGACGAATCTTTGAAGTGAGCCTTAATGAGATTCTGCTTGATCTTCACCGCATCCTGGGAGAGAGAGTTCAATTTTTCCTCCAGCATCCGACGCGTGTTGGTAGCGTGTAGGAAAGAAAGGGCCAACTTGAATTATGAATGGCCCTCTTGTCTTTGTGATGGCAGGTGAGGCGTGGGGGCACTCATCCGGGGCGGGGGGCACTGGGAAGACAGAGAGAGACAACCACAGTTCTCCGAGGTGGCTTCCGTGTCTGAAACTTACAGGAAGACGTGGTGGGCTGGG